CGTGACCTCCCTCACATCCTAAGATCCCAAAAGGCCACTTCACAGGAAAGGAGTATCGAAACCACTAATTGCATTTTGACTAAAAATTATATGTAGTTGTGAAGTTCTAAATTATTAGAAAGATCCCGCAGGCATAGTGTATCTATGAACGTATAGCATAATAAAATTCTTCTTTTCTGTCAATTTGATAAATATCTATTTCTATTCTCGTCGTGTTTTCATAATTTTGTTAATAAAACCTATTAATTCGTTATATATTTTGCTATCCATTATACCATTCGTATATAAAAATTGTGAATGTTCATTATTCCCATATTTTGCATTAATTTGAGTTTTAATATTTGATCTTCCTAATTCATTTTTAGGACATTCTAGTATTAATTGTTTTTTTTTGAATCTACGCATTTTCCACAAAGTCTACATTTTGGTAATTTTACAGTTAAATGTTTGTTAAAAGCTGTTTCACCTGTAAGCCATTTATCGTGGAGATAAACATATACCCTATTTTGTATGGCAGGCGACTTTATGCCTGCCCATTTCTTCCATATTATTTCCCAATTCAATCCCGGATTTTTAAATTCTATTTCCTGTTTCTCTTGAATGATTGGTTCATTTAGAACGTTATAAATATCATTATTTTTATTCCATAAATTAGTGTTATTTCTATATCTGTATATTAAATCTTTTACTCTTCTATACGCACCAAGTGGTTCTAAAAGTTTAACTAGTCTATTATTCATATAAATTTCTTTATTGAAGGTACATAAATACCTATATATATATATATATATATATATATATATATATATATATATATATATATATATATATATATATATATATATATATATATATATATATATATATATATATATATATTGCTTCCCATGGATATTTTGGGTTTTAAATCTATTAAGAATTATTTCTAACTTCTTTACGCTCAAATTTGGAAGGTCTAATCCCCCCTAGTCTTGGGTCTGCATATATATTTTTTTCTTAAATAGCGAATTTTGTTATCCCAAATAAAGCTCATTATTTTTCTTTCTACATTGCCTATCATGGCTTCTGTTAAGTGAGTTGTATTCAAAATGTAGTTCAACTGGCTATACATATAGGTCTTAGCGATATGTATTCGGTCTATTAAGTTAATCTTCATATGAGACCAAATCTCGATCTGTGCATCCAATTTTGTTATTAACTCACGATAGTTTTTGTGAGTATAGTTTAATCCAAATAAGATTCCTAATGCTTGAGTTCTAATCAGACTTGGCGGGAGACCTGGGTGGTTTCCCCTCCAGTTTCCTATTAGTAAAATTTCCGTTTTGTTGTGATTTATTGCTGATCCAGAGGCTTTCCCAAATTTGAAAAATTCATCTTGTAGATGTTTGAAAAAATATCCATCTCTGGTGAAGTTTGTGCAGTCATCTCCATGCAAAATAGTTTTAAATTCATTTTTCATATTTGGTATTTTGATTCCTTCAATATTGGTATTACTTTTAATGTTTATATTCAAGGATTCAATCGAAATTACATAGAGCAACATGGACAGGGGACAGCCTTGTCTCACTGAGCGTTGAAGCGTGAATTCTCCTGTTAGGGCCCCATTTATTGCTATCCTAGATGTAATGTTTGTATACCTAGCATTAATCCAATTTATGATATTTACACCAAATCCACAATTTTCCAAAGCTTTAAAAATAAATTCGTGTTCTATTCTGTCGAATGCCTTTTCTTGATCAAATAAAAACATAACTGCTTTTTTATTCTTGATTTTCATACGTTCTATGATCGCATTTATAGATAACGTATTTATAATTTTCCTCCCTATCCTCCCACAGCTTTGGTTAAAATCGATTATATTGTTTAAGCATTTTCTAATCCTATTTGTTAAAATTTTGCTTAGTATTTTGTAATCCGTATTAAGAAGAGTTATAGGTCTCCAATTTTTAAGGTCAGATTTATCTCCCTTTCCTTTGTATATTAATGTAATCACTCCCTCCCTTAAAAGTTTTTGGCATATAGCCATGAAATAAAATATTATTAAACAATAGTTCTAGGAAATCTACTAGTTCCTCCATAAACACTTTATAAAAATCCGATGTTATACCATCCGAACCTGGCGATTTCCCCATTTTTAAGCTTTTAATAGCATTTTTTATTTCTTCAGCGGAAATAAATTTTTCACAATTTTCCTTATCTGTTAAAAGGATGTGGTTATATTTCGTTCTATATATCGTGCTATATTGTCTACATCTATATTTTGAGTTTTAAAAAATATTAGTATAGTAATTTTGAATCCCTTTTAAAATATTTTTCTTATCTTTATAAATTATATCTCCTACCTTTATTTCCTCAATTATTTTTAGTTCCCTTTTTTAATTTCCAAACGTCTATACAATCCCCTCCCTTTACTGTATAAATTTTCAAATTTCCCTGCCCTTATTTTGACACCATCCATTTTTTCCTTTTCTATTTCTTCCCATTGTTTAACTATTTCATTTTCTTGCTCCTTTAAAGGTTTCTCCTTCATTTGTATTTCTGTATAAGACTTTAGTAACCATTGCTTTTTAAGTGTTTTTGTTTTGCTATAATATTTAGTTAGCTGTCTAAAAATCTGTTTAAGCCTTTCCCAATCCTCCATAATATCTCCTAATTTATCTTCTTTGAATCTATTTATATGTATACGAACTGTTTCTAAATAGTTTTTGTCCAAAAGGTGGATATTATTCATTTTCCACAACCCTGCCCCCATTTCATTTTATTTAAGAAATCTAATTCCAGTACAACTGGCTTGTGGTCTGATATACGGTCTTCGTGTATATTACAACTTTTTTTACAGACCTTATATAATTTCCGAGATATAGAACGTGTCTAGCTTACTTCCTTTCATTGTATCATACACATATGTGTATTTTCTGGAGTCTTTATTTATCCACCTATAGGTATCCACTATACTATTTGTTTTTATAAATAAGTTTATCCATTTGCGCATTGATTTATCAGAATCTGAGAGTTTCTCACTTTTATCTAATTCGCTTTGTATCCAATTAAAATCCCCACCCATTATACATAGTTCTGATGAGTAGTTTTGTATATATTTATTTATGGTTGTAATGAATTTGATCTTGATCGGGTCATTGCAACCAGTCAGTCAATAGTCAACGTTGCACAGGGCTAATTTAGTCTTTTAAGACTAGTTAAAGTACTTTAAGAGGTAACCTTAAGTGCAGCCCCTCGATATTTGAATGCATGCACGACACGCTATTTAATTTAAATGTCTGGGCGTCGGAATCGGAACCTCTCGGAATCACCACAGATGTACTATCGATCAAATTCTGGCTCATTGTCTAGCATCGGGCAATGCACTACGATCAATTGTGTGCAAGCCACATATTGTAATTAGAATCATTCTAACTATTTGTAAAGTTTCCTACTCTGAGTTATTTTAGAATGTTTTTTAGACTGTTGTGTACACAGTTTAGGTACTTTTGTTTTAAAAAGACACTAAAGAATACTTGGTTAGAGTGGCCCAATAAATTTGTGTGGTTTTGATTAGTTACAATTTGAATACTGTTTTTGAAAAGTGGATTAATATTTGAATATATAACAGTTAACATCAAAATATAAAGCCGTTGCGCATTTGATTAGTTTTGTGGCTAGACTGGTGAACGCACCGTTTAACATAAAAAGAGCAAGGATGTGATGGAAAACATCCATCCGAATTGTTACACATAAATGTAAACATTACCAAGATCGATAGATAGAAATGAGAAAACAAGTGTTCATGTACCTTTGATTCCAATCAATCAACGAGCAAGACAAGGCCATTCCTCTTTTCACGCATCAACTTGCTTGATGATAATAAGAAGATTTTCTGACCAAAAAAAAAAGAATACAAAAAACAATTAACATTAATTTAAACATAAACTTAATGTTGACGAAACTATCAGTCTAGCTCATCATAATTTATAGAGTGCTTAAAGCAAGTAAATGTCCATCTTAGGAGATATTTTTGAATGCCTTGATAGACACACAATATTGGCCATACAGCAGAGATAACTGTTTTCGAAAATGCATTTCACCGTGACTTGTTCTTTCGAGAATAGAATATCTCATCCAATATCTTCTTTTCTACTAATATTGACACTGTCAAAATTCAATTGACAGATTCACGTTAAACCTGACACTTACTTCTCCTTTCATCATAAGCAATCAGAGTAAACCATCAATACATTGAGTCCGTCGTTCAATTCGATAGGGTAACGACAATATTTTTTTATGGAATCGGTCGTTGCTGTAAATTTCCTACATGGGAGCCAAAGCTATGTATCTAACCAAATTAGAAAACAAACTATACAAAGTAATGCACATTTTTCAAAACGAGTAATGTGTACGCCGTTGTGCCTTGAAGAATGGTGATTGATTTTGGCCGAAAAACTGTCGTTGTTTTTACTACTTTTTGTTATGGTTCAGGGAGTGATTGGGATAACCTATTCAACTCTAAGTAAAATGTTTCAAACTCAAATTGGCAGTGTCTGTTGTGATCACACTATACGCCACAAATAAATGCAGAAACATATGATTAGAATGTTAGGAACAGGTTCTCAACACCACGCCCACAGAGGTACCTTGTGTAGTTTTTGAAACGAGCTATGAGAAGGAGAGATAGCTGCTCTGTTTAACGGTATAATAGATATTACATATTCTTTTATAGTTGATAACGACTGAATTAGCAATCCAGGTTGATATACTCTCCATCGCTCTTTCACTTCTTCGATTATGCCTTCTTACAGTGAGAGTGCTCTTCACATCGTACAGTTGTGTTATTTATTGCAGCGTAGCAGTTTATAGTGATGTCTAGCACTGGGGAATCATGCCACAGACACGTAGCATGATGTCCCATCCAGTCACCATATCCTGACACCAAGATAACCAGTCCTAACACTAATCTCATAATGCTGAGCGCCAAGCGAAGCAGCTGTTAGTACTATTTTTGTTAAGGCTTTGGTATGACTTTACCGGGGATAGAACCCGCTACCTACCTCCCGCATCCGAGGCGGAAGCTTTAACCATTAAGCCACCGGAGCGGTTAAGGAAATAATCGTTTATATTACGAGAAATGGACGACATACCTCATCAACGTAAGGAGTTTAGATTTTGCATAGGTATTTGTTTATATGATAATCACTACTACATTTTTCTAAAAAGCTAAACGATCATACATTTATAGACAAACACCATTTTGTTTTAGCTTAATCGAAGGTCTCAACGAAAACGCTGAGGACTACTTTCATGCCAGTGACTGAATCATGGAACCCATTTTTTTTAACACAAGAGTTTTTTATCAATAAAATGTATGGATTCATTTCAAAGATCTAACAAGGCATAACTACCACAAATAGTTGCTTTTGCATTACAATTCACAAGATCATAAATTGCACAGAGGATTTCAAATGTCTGAAAGATCATATAAATCATGTCAACCAAAGGACTGCTACGTACCGATACGTTAATGTTTTGTGATATTGTTGAAGAATTCATATATGCCTATATAAATAATTACCAATTAGATCCGTCACATTATTTTAATGTACCAGGACTATATTAAACTATATATTTGATTTCGCTGCTTGTAATTATCTTATCTTTATTACCCAAATATATACAGCGTATAAACATCGCATACAAGTTCTAATAATAATAATAATAATAATAATAATAATAATAATAATAATAATAATAATAATAATAATAATAATAATAACAAAATTATTAATAATAACAAAACTAATCAGTGCAACTTTCATTATGAAGTCACTAAGTGTATCTCAAGACTATTTTTCCATAAGTTGTTGTTATTATTATTATTATTATTATTATTATTATTATTATTATTATTATTATTATTATTATTATTATTATTATTATTATTATTATTATTTATGTTGTTATAGATTTTATCGTTGCAAGTGCTGTCATTTTCTTTTTGTTACTTCTACTCCTGCATTGTGTCTAAGAGGCAAACGATTATATATCGATAATGAATAAAATAAAAGTCGTTTCCATGTACTTTCAACATTTATATACTAGTTACAATGGGTGAAATTTATAATGAAAAACTAATCTAACCTGTTAACATATCCATACGCTATTAGGCAATATGGTGTGCTAGGTTTTAAATCACGTTATCGAATCCAAACAATGAAGAGACTTTCCAAGTTGACAGTGTATTAGAGTTGGCAGCAATAGACAATATATTTAGTTGCTTTTTTTTTTGTTAAATTTGTGTTAAAGGAATTTTCCAGTTATTGTTATTATTATTCAAGTGTGAGTATGATGTTATGTATATTTTGCAGACTAAACAGGCAGATTGCAGCTGATAAATGATGATCGTTAAAAGGAGACGAGTAATGAGAGCTATTTCCGTTTTGTTTGGCGTAATACTCATCATTATCTTATATGCAAGAAAAATTTCTCCTCAACATGATAATGTGAGTCCCAAAATGCACTATTTCACAACAATGTATCTGTTTATTCCAAAATTCAATTAGTTTTTTTTTATTAAAGGTTTCGACCCAAATGCCATGAAGTCAAAGACAGACGACTAAATGTTTGTTCATATCAGTATGAAGTATAATTTTACATCCAAGCCATTGCATCACGTTTCTCGCCATGGTGTATATGTTATTTTTTCATACCACACGAGATTATATTATCATTACTACCTTATAATTAATACGCAGCATATTAGAATAAACTAACAATGTCATATTGACAAAATAAATATTTACAAAATGTGTGTCAATTATGTAAACAAGCTACAAATTAACCTCTAGTCACTGTTTAACTTTTGTTTCTGCGGATAAAAATAAATGTGCATAATTTAAAAGAATTTAAACGATGGGCATTTCTAGAAATTAATAACTTTTGAAGTCATAGACATAGGAGAAGATCCGACATGAACTTTGAAAAAGAAAAAATTTAAATTTTAAACGTTTCGTAATTACGATTTAATAAATCATACGATTTTTGAAATAGCAAGGTTTGGAATTTGTATACACCGAATTTAAAAGTTCAAAAAAAATGATAACTCAAACGTTCATCTATACTAAGATCATGATTACACACACGACAGCGTGTAAAGTCCTGAGGTAATAGCCATTGATTAAGGACTGATTTACGAGGTACAGCAAGAGCAGTGTCATTTTCTATCTTGCTGTGACAGTGAGCAGACCCCTAAATAAGTGTTCTTGTTAATTACCTGTTTTACTTTTATAGCCAGGCATGGTTTTATTACAAATGTCTCTAACTGCTTCAAGAAATGTACATGGTTTTAAGCATACTCTTTCAAACATCTACATGATGAATTCACAAAATTTGGGAAAATCTCTTGATCGGCAAAAAATCACAGTAAAACGGAAATTTTATTAATAGGAACCTGGCAGGGAAATCACCCAGGTCTCCTGCCAAATTTGATTAAAAATCATGTAAAAGCATTGGGAATTGTTTCCGGACTGAACTGAACTCACAAAAACTATAGTGAGCTAATATCAAAACTCGACAAAAGGCTAAACTTAATCGACCGTATACAAGTCGCGAAGACTTACCTATATAGTCAATTAAATTACATTATGAATTCTACTCATTTAACAAAAGCCATTTTAGGCAAAGTAGGAAACTATCGAGCTTTCTTTGGGAAAACAAAATTTATTACTTAGGAAAATGATATTTATGCAGACCCAAAGCTAAGGGTGTATTAGACCTCCCAAACCTAAGCTTGAAGCAAACATCCATGATTTTAAATAGGTTCAAAACACAAAATGATAAACCCAAATATATATGAGAAGCAATTAATATATATATATATATATATATATAGATATATATATATATATATATATATATATATATATATATATATATATATATATATATATATATATATATATATATATATGGATATTTATGTAAATTTAATAAGAATTGTTATACAAATAACTCAGTAACTTATTAGAACCGCGAGGATATTTTGGATGAATTAAAAAACTCGTTTACAGATATAGAAACAATAAAGAATTATGGGATATGGGGAAAGATATTTATACATGTAGAATGGAACCATTTGTCCAAGAACATCAGGAAGTAGAACTGAGAAACCCGGCACTAAACTGAGATTCAGTCTGGAGAAATTGGGCAGGCCTAAAATCGCCTGCTATTCAAAGTAGATTGTTTTTCTATATACATGATAGATGGCTGACAGGTGAAGCAGCTTTCATCAGACACCTGACGAAACAATTACCAGAATGTAGATTGTGTGGATCACATATTGACTCTAAAAAGCACTTAATTTCAGAATGAGAACGAAATAATTTGGAAAGGCGAAATATCAAAAATAAAATTTAACAAAAGTATGGAACAAATGAAACTACACAATTTCTATTTACAAATGACATTATTGATAAGAATTTATATAATGACCTTATAAATTTTTATTAACCCAGTAATGAAATTTATTCGTGATTATAAATAGTAAATTGCACAAAATGTATATGCCTGTGGGGTCTTCATTCATACATAACTTTCCTATCACCTATCTATCTTCTCTATGCACATATTAAAAATAATAAGGGTCCTAAGATAGGGAGCCCGGTATCGATCTTATTTCACAACCGGTCTCTTGAATCAAAGGCACCAAAAAAATTAAAGAGACTATGAGAATTTGACCTATCTAACCAGCCAGTACAAAAACATAAAGGCAGACACATCAAATAACACACTCATATAGCAAACATAGGGCAAGATGGGTCCCTGGCAAGAATCACTAAAATATAAATGAGATTTGACTCCAGCCCGGGGAAAAAAAAAACCTCTTATATTACACTAGTTAAGAAATGCGTTTAAACCCTAATCAAAAATTATAAAATCAAAAATTGTTAAAATAAAAATAAGAGCACAGACATTTGACACAATACGAATACACATACAAACTTTTTATTATAGAACTAGGGTATCCCTCGGATAATGAATTATGTGAGAAATCACGCAAAACTATAAATAAATAGTGTTCTGGTTTGATAATTTCTTGTTAATTACGTATTTTACTTTTATCGCCATGCATGATTTTATTACACATGTCTCTAACTGCTTTAAGAAATGTACGTGGGTTAAAGCAATAAAGTATCACTGTTTTTATATAATACATTTTTGTTAGAGAAAGGTTTTATAAATAAACCATGCACATTTTTTATTTTAGGTGTGATTAGGTGGTGATAATTCTCTATCCTTATCGCTTTTACATCATTGAACTCCAACATTTCGTAACCCGAAGTAAACGAGTGGCATATTATTTAATGAATTACAAAATAATGCCCAGCCTTGTAAACGATATAGAAAAGGGCAAAAAATCAATAAATGTCTTATAATTCCTCTCTCGAAAATATAAAAAGAAGAAAATAGAAGTAAACATATTTGCATTACTTTCCGAATTTAAAAAAAAAATTAAAGCACTTTCCTACATTTATTTTTATTTTATATCTTCAGATTTTTCCTAATGATGATGAATTCCCACATTTTAAAGGAATGGAAATATTCACTCAGGTTTCTGACACAAAGGTTTTTATATATTCGGTGATTGGAAGAAATACATCTACAACCAGTAATGCGTGGAACGAATTTGGAGTTAACGCGTGGATTCATTCGGAACTAAAATCTAAATACATATCATGCTGTTTCTTGTTTGAGGATGGAACAATTATCAATACTAATCATACAAAATACTGGTATTATGCCCTGGACGTAATGTTTACCGTCCAGTACACATGTCCAAAACCCAAATCATTGGTACATCTGAGAGGGATCACGCTAACTGTGACCAGTAATAAATGTTCCAGTAACGTTTCAACGTACGTCAGTCCAGCTTATCCATTACGGCGATTGGATAAGGAAACCATAGCCTTGTGCGCCAAGCAGATTTATGGAAATCTTAGTGCAAGACTTGCCGTCACGTGGCTTGAATACAACAGAGCTATGGGCGTGGATAAAATTGTGACTTTTGTAAACGAAAGCTACTTGTCCCGGAATACTTATA